CTCGTCATCAAATTTAAGTGTGAGTAATGTAACCTAGTAACCAGAGCTAAACGAGGAGTGAGGGATGTTAATCTAGTATTCATAGCGAAATGAGTTGCGAGGTAATGTAACATGATACCCAGAGCCAAATGACTGACTTAGTTGTAGTACATGGCACCAGAAAGAAAATTTGTGACGGTGCAGTGAAGCCTAATTGTTAGAGTCAAATGAGCAATGTGAGTAGGGTTACATAGCTCGTATAACTAAATAGGTAATATAGCATAAGTGTTATTTTTGACGGAGGACAGCTTTCAATACCAATGTGCGACACAAACTGTGTTAATACTATTCAAGAACTAGAAGGAATTACATGGATTTTGTTTCGCTTAGTGGAGCAAACTTTTCCAATAGCTTATTTTCTTTAAATTATCACCAAATCCTGATAAAAGCAAGCTACATACGTAGATCAGAACTAAGAAATCAACCCTGTAATTAGTAGAGCAAATTTAATATACCATTACAACTAGTTTATGTGTAAAACAAAAACTTATAAAGATGACAGTGCTTTGATTCATCATTTTGGATATCTTCGCTGTAAACGACATTTTCGGCCGAAATCCCAATAATAGCTCCCGAGGTTCGGCTAGATTATGATATAGAGATTTGTCTTATCTTCGTATATCAAGCTAACAGTGCAAAATAATCCTAATAATAAATTATATTTAACATATATATATATATATTACATAAATAAATATATGTAATAAACATTTTAGCCAACACTGTTAATGAAAGTAACATTATAAAAGAGTATAATATAACTTACAAAACACATAAACAGTCACTGATCCCTCCCCACATGAGTACACACTATTATCAGGATTCATACTTAGAATATTACAAGGAATGATTGATAATTTAATAAATACTTAAATGTGACTATTTAAAAATATAACTAAACAGCTCGGAGTCATCTAGCGTTTTCCTAAGACGATATTTAACTCGGAAGGACTTTATAAAAGGAATATTTTTCGCTAGCATTGCTGTAAGAAGCATGAACGTCCAGAGCCATCTGTTGGTTTGACAACGAGTTACGTGATTATGGAGAAGAAATTTAAATGCTCACTCCTGGACATTGAAATGATAACATCACAAGGGTATGAAATAATAGTTATACTCTGTTACTAAGCTGGATGGCGGTTTTTCACGAAAAATATCTGTATCATCAATTAGCCTACTTTACAAATATTTTGACAGATTCCATCAATATTTGTTTTCCGGTGGGACAGCTGTAAGTCTGAGGACTTACAACACTAAAATCTGGGGTTCGATTTCCCCGGGGTGTACACAGCAGATAGCCCAGTGTGGATTTGTTCTAAAAAAACAACAACAACAAATAAACGATTTCATTTTTTCGAACAGGACATATCACATACATGTTTTTAACGCAGCTCAGCGTTGCTTTTGCAGCGTTACTAAAATCGGACGTCATAATACTGTTAGCGAGGATAATTTATCTTCCTCCCCCTCCAATTCCCCAAAGAAGTATCTTTGCCAATCTAGAAACAATAACGTTCTATCTACAAGATGTTATCTCTCAACTATTTTAAACGTAAATTCTTTTTTTCGTTTATCGTTTTTACTAATCTGGACTTCTTTAGGCCCTTTCATCAATTAGTTATTTGTTTAAATTAAATGCCAATTTTTTATTATTATTGAATTTCCTGTGTATTTATAAGTACAACAGTAAGGGGGCTGAAACTTGTGTAAACACAGGAAGTGGAATTGTTTGTCGCCACACGAAGCCTGGAGTAGTGCGCTCAAAAAGAACTTCCGGAAAAAGACAGGAATAAAACACTGACATTAACATCTGGTTTGCTGTGGGATTTTCTTTTTCCCTAATATTTTTTGTATACGTTAAAGGCTGAGAGGGGGAGGAGGGAAGGTATGAATGTAAATATTTTACACCTCATTTTAAAGGAATGAATACCAGACGCACTCGCTTTCAAAATATACATTCACATATTCTTGTATTATTCCTCTGCACGTGCGGTTACCCATGCAATAAAAGTACTGTTTGTGGCAGCGATAAACTAAGTAGAAAGATGCAAGAAATGCCTGTCGGTAAACTGCTGTAACATTTATTAAGCTTTAGCTTATTCAGAACGTAGTACTGTACTTTATTCTTAATCCAAACCGCGTTTATGTAATATCTCGTTCGTTTGTTCCTAGATCGAATCTCGGATTTTTGATTACGTCTTTCGCTTTAGAATTTTTGCACAAAGCTACCGCAATGGCTATCTGTGCATAAGCCGACCTCACTTTTGAATTAATAGAATAAACGAAAGGCAGCTGGTCGGTAGCATCTACCGCCAACTCTTGGGCTACGCTTCTCACCGGACAGTGAAATTTGGCCTGAACTTCAAAAGCAAGAAATAAATGTATTTATTGTTCTTAATTATGATTTTATTTACTCTTGGAATAGAACACTTTCGGGGACCCTGCGGAAGTACATGTGTGTGTGTTTCACAAGTTCATATCAGAATATGGGTTAAGCATGGCCTAACGGATAGCGTGCTCGGACCATGAATCCTGGGGGTTCACGGTTTGCCATCCGTTGACGAAAAAAACATTCTCCACTCTTTGGATCCATGTGTGCACTATAAGAGCAATTATGTCATAGGCTGTGTTGTAGCCTACAGAGTGCATAATTTTTCTCGTGGTTCATGGCATGCGCACGTTTTACTAACGTCACACAGTACAAGTTACAGCGTTAAGTGTCGCTTGTGTGACGTCATTTTAGTGTCTACTGACTGACTGACAGACAGACAACACACTACCGTATAGTGGTGCGAGTGGTTAAAACAGGCGACCCCGAAAGGGGAAATAACACGTTATGTGACTCGAACTATAGAATATTGTAAATATTTCTTCATTTTAATGTCCGGCGCGGAGATTAAACCTTGAATTCCAGCGTTATTCCTCAAGCTTACAGCTGAACCAGAGGTGGGACCCTCCTAGAATTAATACATTGTTACTGCAATATATGTAAATTCATTGGTTATAATTTTTAAGAGTGTGGAATACAAATTGTCATTGCTCAATGAAAGTAACATTTATAGTTTTCACTACACCTTTTATATCAGAATGTGGACACACTTTAGTCACTATGTTTTACTATAATGAACAATAACATTTGTTTTTAGTGTTTTTATGTCTTCAAAACGTGGCATATTTAGTTTAAATTTCGGTAATAGTATTTGTTTTATGTTGCATGAAAGTTGCATCGTGTATTTTTGTTACCATTATCGTAGCTAACGTTAAGTTTCCATATCCGTGGTGTGCTATCCACTATCGCTAAAAAACACTCAGGATAGTTATTAAAGAAACGGTATTGTTCGAAAAGTTGTCGATCTTTTAATACTTTGTTTGTTTGTTGTTAAGCACAAAGCAACACAATAGGCTATCTATGGTGTGCCCACCACGGGTATCGAAACATGGTTTTTGCACTTTAAGCCTTCAGACTTACCGCTGAGCCACTGGGGGGGGGGGGTTAAAATTAGTTATGTACGCTCACACATTACTTGTGTATTTCAACCCACGTGTCATATTGTTAGTTTGAGGTATGGTTTTCGTTCCAGCACACGTCAGATTGTTGGTTTTGAGGTATGATTGTATTCCAACACACGTGTCAGATTGTTGGTTTTGAGGTATGACTGCATTCCAACACACGTGTCAGATTGTTGGTTTTATGGTATGATTGCATTCCAACACACGTGTCAGATTGTTGGTTTTATGGTATGATTGCATTCCAACACACGTG